CTTCATCTGCATAATGGGAACAAGAACCCTGAGGGAACTAGGGAGGCCAGATGGGTTTGAGTCAGACAAAGAGGCCAAGGCAAACAGGGGTGCCCAGAGCCATAAGGCTCAGGGCACTCAGGGGACTCAAGGTGCCTCTGCGCCACCCTTCTCATAGGCACAGTGAGGGAGGTTTAAATAAGCCAGGGCTGGGGGCAGACCTATGATCCCAGGTGCTGGTGAACAAACCCTGCCTGGTGCCACCCTGAGAGCTGAGAGGCCTCAGTCGGCTCCTCCCGCAACCAGCCTGGCCTCGGAGGCCCAGGAAGAGAAGCAACAGCGGAGCCCCCTGAGCAGGGAGCAGGAGGGGCTCAGCCCCAAACCTGACTTCTGGCCCCTCTGGCCCACTCCTCCCTGCACCCCTGCTGTCCAGATACAAGCACCTCCTCACCTCTGGGCCTTTGCCCATACTGTTCCCCTGCCCAAAGCACCCTTCCCCATTCTGCTGGGCGCACCCACCTCTCCCACCACTTCAGGCCCGGCCGGCCAAGGCTGGGTTCCCTGAGAGGAGCAGACAGATGAGCAAGCAGTTGGAAGCACTGAGCCTTGTCAGATGGCCCCTCCTCCAGGAAGCCCCTCCCCCTGGAAGTAACTGGTAACTTTCTCCTTTAGGCCAAATTTTAGAGGGACTCAAACCCACAAGAAGCTCCATCCACAGCCATAAATACTTCCTAAATGATCACGATCATCTCCCAGACCGGTTTCTTCTCTTGGTTTCCACACACTGGCCTGGTGCAGGCCACCATCGTCTCTCCCCTGGGCACAGGCCACAACCTCCTCATGGCCTCCCCACCCCTGGCTCCGTGGGCCACACCGATCTCTCCAACACAAATCAGATCATGCCCCAGTCCTGCTCACACCCCCACGTCAGGATATGCCCCCACTCAGCCTCCACTCCCACCTCCACCCCCACACATTGTGCTCCCCTCTTTCAGCCACAACTTCCTGCAGTCCCCTGGCCTTGGGATCCATTCTACCCACCACTTCCCCTCCACACGGGAAGTGGTGGGTAGAATGTCCTTCAGTGGGAACTGCCCATCTCCATCTGGCCTGGCCCTCCCCTAGGACTCCACTCCATTGTCACTGCCTCTGGGAAGCCTGCCCTTGTGTCCCCAGGGCAGCCAGGCTGCAGAGAGCAGTGGGAAGTCAGGTGGTGTTTGAGCCAGAATGGAACTCAGGCATCCTGGTGCTAACTGGCTGTGTGACCTCAGGCAAGTTGCTGAACCTCTCTGAGTTTAACCCCTCACAGGTCTGACCAGGAAATGAGGAATGAGGACCCACAAGGGAATTCCACTCAGACCACTGGTCACAGAGATGCCAGAAAAGCTGGGGCAGCCTGGAGTGGGGAGCACAGATACTTCCATGAAGCTTGGGCAGTTCAAGGAGGTAGGCCAGGGTCAGGCCACCTAGCCAGAGCAAAAGCCATAGGACTGTCCCCCGGAGCTGAAGCCCCAGAGGACCCAGGCAGCTACCAGGATGCCACAGGACGGGAGGGTGTAGGTGTGTACCTTCTCATGGCCTTGCCCTTAAACTTCTGCAGCTACCTCCCCAGACCAGAGTACAAGGGAGCCTGGGAAGGAGTTCACCACACGCAGGAGGCGGCGGCAAATGGGTCTGCAAGTACAGCCGCTGACCAGCACAGCCCCTTGCCCGCCTGCCAGGTGGAGGTGGTCACGTCAATAGGCCCCGTTCCTGGACACCCGCATGAACGAACTGCCCGTGCCTCCGTGGAGGGGCACACCCTTGCCCTGCAGGGGGTGAGGGGCCTCTGCTGCCTCTCCCAATGTCCGCACCCCAGCAGCATACCCCTCCCAGGCTGAGGGTACGAGCCGGCCCGTGCTCTCACACGTCCCCACAGAAGGCAGTGGGGTGGACATGGGCTACGGTTTCCTATTGGGTTTAGAATAAAGTCAAGGTCGTCTCAAGTCAAGGCCGCAGCATGAAACACAAGTCCACTCCAATGGATCTTTAATGACGAGACCCAGCAGAGGCAAGGGGAGGTTAAGGGCACCAACTAGACGGGGAGGCCCAAGGGAGGAGCACGTGGGGCGCAGCCACCACCTGCGGGCCTGGAGAGCCAAGGGCAGCCCAGCGAGGGGCTGGGAGGAGGGGGCACAGCCACTGAGAGCAGTGACTTTGAGAAGGGAGAGGGCAGGAAAAGTAGCCTGTCTCTAGGTGGCCAGGACCTTCCTGGGAGCCAGTCCCCTGCTCTTTCCTCTAGAGTTCCCACGGTGTTTCAGAACACAAAGAAAGTTGGATGGGGACAGACCCAGACCTCAGGCCATGCGGACCACACCTCCCTCCCTCGCTGCCCAGAAAGCCCCCTGGCACCCCGCTCCTACTGCAAGTCCTCACTGCAAGCCTCCACCCCCAGTGGAAGATGCCAATGGGGAGCAGCCAAGCTCCTGCCTTCTTGGAGTCAGCCACCCCCTCCCGGAAGTTTGACCTCGGTTTTGGCCACTGCTGTCACAAACCACATGAACCCTCAGAACTAACAGACTCTAGGGCTCAAGTTTGGCCGCTGACCAGCCTGGACTCACCAGTCTCACAATCCTGGAGTGGCAGGTCCAATGACCAGTCACCTCTGTGTGCCCATCAGCAAAGTGGGCAGCCCTCCCTCTGGACTGTCCCTGCCAAAGTCCCAGGCCTGTCACTGCCCCTAGGCCTGCCCTCTAGGCCCCACCTGACTTTTGGGCTGTTTGAGGTGTTGAGACCCCCAAATTCAGAGGTTAACACTAGATGAGGAGGCCCAATGTTTTCCAAGGGGGTTATGGAAGGGGCAGTCCTGAAAAGCTCCCCAAGGGGGTGGGATTAGAAGTGACTGAACGTAAAAATTTCAATGTTCAGGGAAGACAAGTTATCAAGGAAGGCATTCCAGGTGGAAGAAACAACATGTGGAAAGCACCTGAGGCTTGGGGGCCTTGTGAGTGTCAAATGAGTTCACAGACAAGAAAGTGCTTGAGACCCAAGGCACCCCGTGTGGATGGGGGCCCTGCTGTCAGAGAGGACAGCCGAGGTTCCCCATGGGTTAGGGCAGCTCCATGGTAGATCCTGTACCCCTGAAAGGGACCCCAGCTCAGCTCCCCAGGTCTTGCTTGGGAAAGAGGCCTGGACCCACTGCCCCCAGGGGGCGCCCAAGAGCTGAGCCGGAGGAGGCTGATCAGAGCTCTCGGAGCGGCCCCACCCTGCTGCCCTGCTGCCCTGCTGCCCTGGCAACCACCTGAAAGCACCTTGTTGGCCAACGGGAGGTGCTGAGGTGGACACAGCAACCGGAGGGCCCAAGCTGAGGCTCTGCGTGTTCAGGACTGGCCAGTGCTGCACTGGGCGCACAGCCCTGGCCACCATCCAGTGCCAGCCCAGGGGCCTGCCCACACGCTCAGCACCAAGGAGCTGTCCCCTCGCTGGGGCCTGTCTCGGGGCCTCCTCCAGTCCCTCCACTCCAAAGGTTGCACAGGCCCAGAATCCTTCCTCAAATCCCCATCCCACTGCAGGGAGAGGCAGGAGGGGGGCCGTGGAGGTTAGCAGGGGAGGCCAGGTGCCACCCTCCCTGTCCAGGGACTGGGCTTAGCATGGCCCTAACCCTAACCCAGGCTGCTTCCTCCTGGTTCCCCCCCACCCCAGCACCTTAACCTGAATGTACTAAGGACCCAGGCAGGGGCCAAGGAGGACCCAGCAGTGCCTAGACCAGGACAGGCCAGATGAGTTTGTTCCCTGTCCTCTCCCCGGCACGGCCTCAAAACGCACCTCACAACCACCCCTCGGGGCAGTGCAGCAGCCAGGTCAGCCAGAAACACACCTGAACCCCTACTCAGGCCCAACAATGCCCATCGGCGCCCAGAGCCCTCCTCCTGGACACCGGGCAAGGTAGGACCCAAGGCCAGGCTCATGTGGGGTGGGCAGCGTGGGTCAGTGCCTGACTCCATGTGGCCGAGCCATGGGCAATGAGGCCCAGGGAATGGGGCTGCCTGGGGCCATCAGAGCCCCCTGTCCTGTCCACAGGACTCCTATACCTGCTTCTACCGCCTTCTCCTCTTTTCAAGGGCAGGGTCAACCATCACAGCCACCCCGCAGCCCCTTTCCCTCCTTAGTGAGCAGACCCACTACTCCTTAGGCTTCTGGGGTCTCTGACCCACCCCACTTTGTAACAATGACCCCAATTTCCTCTCCTTCCTGAATAACAAGAGGCTTGGGTGGAGGCACTGAAAGTGAATGACAGGGACACATGATCTCCCCCCCCCCATTTGTACACACTCCCACTTGTCATTCCCTTTGTAAAATCAGTCTCAGACACCCTGGGGTGCAGGATAGAGTGATTCATTCCCAGGTCAGGGCTGCTGACTTGCAAGGTCCCCTGTGGGTGGGGCTGTGCCTAGAGCTGCAGAATGTGAAGACCCAGTTCCCACTCTCAAAGCCAGCGTGTCAGAGGCCTCATGCACACTTTCCTCAGAAAGGCCAGCGCCTGACACCATGTGGGTCCAGGCGCGGCGAGGTTCCACTCACCACAGAGATGGGAAGACTGAGGCTCAGGAAGTTAACTCTCTGACTCTTGATCGTGTGAACAACTGCCCTGTAAACAAAGAGTCTTAGCAGCTGCCAGGGCAGAGTGCCCCCCACATCAGCTACTTGCTACGCCCGCCATGCGAGGGTCCGGCTGGCACAGCTGCACCTTCACAGCGCAGGTGGCTCGGTGTGAACAGAATGGCTTATAGAAGCTGTTTGTGACGCTGCAGTTGGACTCAGAGGAATGTGTCCTGAGGGGAGAACTGGACAGGTGTACAAAGGAATGTGGACAAGATGGTTGTCGCCACATTCTTTACAACAGCAAACCCTTGAAGCAGCCAATATCCCCGCAGAGCGGAATGGAGGTTTCCCTCATGAAGACCCGCCGCACAGCTGGGCCGCTGAAGCCACGCTGTGCGTCTGCAGTATCATAATTACATCCGTGAAAACAGCTCCTGGACACACCGAAGTTACAGGAAAGTAACTGTGGTAGAAACCTGGCCTTAGAAAGATAAATAAATAAGAAAGAACAAGAGGTAGGAGCCAGCCAAGTGTGTATTTGGAAAGAACACTGTGGATCAGAATCCTCTTAAGTCTAAGAACCGTAAGTTCTAGGAGGTAGAAGGTCCTTTACTTGAATTTTCTAACTTTTCCTACAATCGTGTATTATTGGTGTGATTCAAATGTTTTGTCTTTTAAACTTAGAAACATCACAGTGGATCAAATGCTGACAGTCTGACTGGCTCCCACCTCCAGCTCTGGGATTTGATGACCGCCCTGGGGAATCCCCATCACAGAGCAGGGACAGGCGGGAGCTGGCCCCAGGTGACAACTGCCTGCAGCCATATCACCCTCACCCTGCCACCCTACCTCCCGCATCCACCTCTGTCCCAATAACAACATCAGTGATGAGAAGAAAGTTTACCGACAACAGCAACTGCCAGCTGTTGGGGCACAGGTGGGCCACCTGCCATCTGCTTCCAGAGCCAGAGGCAGCAAAGCCAGCCCATGTACAGCGGATGCCCAGGCCCGACCGCCTGACCCCAAAGACGCCAGTGCCTCCCTCCCTTTCCCAGATAACCCCTCCCAGGGGACGCACTCCCTGACCCCTCGAGCCACGTCCTCACTTCTGTGCTCTGTGCCTCAGCGGGAGGAGGCTTGGTGACTCTGTCTCCGCAGGGCCAGGATCAAGCCCATCCCCAAGGCCACTCTCTTAAGTTCATTCTTTATTCAAAGCTCCCTTGTGCGAGGTACACCATGGGGACAGTGGGAGCAGCGAGGCCCCACTTGCCCAGGTACGGTCTGCAATGCAGTGGGAGAGGCCGATTTTAAATGTACAAACACACACTTCTCACTCCGATGGGTGAAGGGGAGGCCGGGGACTCTAAGGGCCAGGCCGGGAGATCCCGCATCCGGCGGGCAGTAGCAGGAGCTAATGCCAACCACAGCCATCCACCACAGGCTCAGTAGCCTGTCCCTCTCCCCCCAACTCTCATTTAATTCCCAGGAGCTTGGGGCTGCTCCATAGGTTTCTCATCTGTCCCAGGGGGCACAGGGCCCCACCCACTGAAGTCACCCAGCTGCCCAGAGGCAGAAGCTGGGGAGGGGCACTGTGTCACCCAGGCTGTGCCCGCTGGTAGCAGGCTGGGCAGCCCAGCCTTTGGAGGGGGTCCCCAAAAGGCCCCTGTCACTAATTACACAAAAATGTCTTAGCAACGCCACAGCCAGAAAAAAAAACACACATCCAAACCCCTCTGGCTAGTTAAAATTCACTCACACAGGCAAAGCAGAAAAATCAACAGCCAACACCAGGCAATATTAAAAATTATGATACAAAATGGTCTCAAAATAGATGCCAGTGTGCAATTCCCGTGGCAACAGCCCTGAGCCTGAGGGCCCCCTCCCGGGAGGAGGGAATGGAGGGGGCATGGGGCATGGTGGGCCCAGGCTCTTGGGACCCAGCCACCATGGGGGTGGAGAGGGCCCGGCCCCATTCTAGCGCCAGGACTTCTCGGAGGAAGGGACAGCGGGCGTGGGAAGAGTGTGGGGTCCAGCAGTGGGAGCATCACCTTCAGCCTGGAACGTGCGGCCACGAAGGGCCTCAGGGAGAAGCCCGCGGAGCCTTCACGGGCTCCTCCCTGGCCCATCTTGCCCTTGTGGTCCTGCGTGAGGCACACTGCCAAGCCCAGAAAGTGGGAGAGCAGGGAAGCAGCCAGTCCAGGGACAGGGGGGCCAAGACAAGGCGAAAGAAATAAACAAACTGTCCCCACCACCCCACCCAGTGCAGGAAGCCCTGGTTCTTGGACTTTCGGACTTGATTCCCCACTAAGTGGCCAAATGAGTAACTGGCAGAGACGGGCCCCGACCCTGCTGGATAGAGACATTGAGGAATTTACTGAGGGCTTTGAGCTGGGCACATGGAGGCAGGGGGTGGTAGCTAAAGAATACAGGGTTTCTTTTTGAATAGGCTCTAAACTGACTGTGGAGATGGAAGAAAAATACTCTGCCAGGGCAGTGCTGGGAATCTTGGGGGGGACACCTTAGCAGTACCTATCACCTTGACAGTCAGTGTCTCACTTAATGGCCCTGATCATTGGATCTGGTAAACACCAGTAGCCCCCTGTACAGATGGGACAGTCGGGCGAGAGCCTTCAGGGCTCAGCAGGCCCGCACAGCTGGCAAACAGCAGGCTGCAAGGCAACTCGCGTACATAAGCAAAAGGTCAGCTGTTCACAGTTGGGACAATAGATTAAGCCCTCTTTGCAGGTTACAAAAGTGCCACTCACAAGATGCCAGGTATTCCTTCCTTTCTGCCTCCTGACTCTAACCTCCCATTCACATCCCCCAGGAATCAAAGCCAGGGCAGTGTCCCAGGGCTGAGGGAGCAGCTTCTGAGGCTGGCTGGGGCCTGCAAGCCTCCAGAGGGGATGTGGTTGGATGACATCAAGGGCCACCAAGGGGACAGTCCTGCTGCTGGGGGAGTGGCAGGAGGGAGAGGTCCCTTTCCTGGGAAGAGCTGCCCTGCCTTCCTGTGACCAGTGTCTCAGGTCTGCCTCTACCATTCCCCACCGCCACCACCCAAGGCCACCACCCCACACAAAGCTTCCGGCTGCACTCACCAGACGAAGGGGGTGAAGGCTGCAGCCCCGCCACTCCCCCCTCCGGGCCCTGTAGTTCACAGCTCACCTGGAGCACAGGTGTATTTCTTTTTTTGGTTTTTTTTTAATATGTTTGTGTTGATTTCAGAGAAATGGAGAAGGAGAGAGAGAAACATCAGTGATGAGTCATTGATTGGCTGCCTCCGGGACGCCCCCTACTGGGGATTGACCCACAACCTGGGCATGTGCCCTGACTGGGAATTGAACCATGACCTCCCGGATCACGTTGATGCTCAACCACTGAGCAACACTGGCCGGGCGTTATTTCTTAGGTGCACCACACACCGCAACACAGCAGGTCTCACTTAGCTGAGTGTGCATGCGTCTCTAGTGGAGGTGAGGCTCCGCACCCATATTCTCTCTATAAACCCACAGCCGGTCCTTTAAGTTCATACTCTTAACGACCCCACCCTGTAGTGGAGAAACTGAGGGCATAGAGATGGCATAGAGAGAGTAGTTTGTCTAGGGCCACACATAGTGAACGGCTGAGGCAGGACTTGAACCCAGCTGGTCGAATCCTCTAATTCCAGAGCTTTGCTGCCTCCCCCAACTCTTTCCAGGTGCGCCCCCAAACCGAGGCTCTCCCTCCCTCCAGCCTCCTCCCCAGTCTTCTCAACCCCTCTCCTGCCACATGGCCTGTCACAGCCCATGCTGTCCCTTGTCCTGGCAAGCAGCTTCTCCCTAAATCACTAGATTTTAGCCTAAACAGCAATTCCTTAGGACCACCACGCCTGACCTCTCACTTCCTGCCCTCCACAGCGCGCCCCACGGCTTAGACTATCTCTGCGGGTCAACAACCACCTCCCCAAATGTGTCTACGTGGCTTTTGTGTGTTTTCTTCACCTCGGAGCCAGCAGCCTCTAGCACGGTGTCTGGAACACACATCGCCCTCATCACGGACCAGGTGCCAGGCCTCGGGCCAGAGCTTTCCCATAGTGTCTCATTTATTCCTTAAGACGCCTCTGGGAAGCGGCCACTGCTCACCCATTTCACATGTGAAAACTCTGAGCTACAAGGACTGTTCACGGTTCACTAGAAGCTAGAAGCGAGTCTGAGCCCACAGTGGCTCTAACCACGGGCCATGCTCCGGTCTGACAGCTGCCCACGCTGCGCACTGAGTGAACAAACGCGGGGTCGCCTGCAAAGACGCTGGGCAGAGGGACAGGCCGGAGGGAAAGGGCCACAGGAGGCAGGGACGAGGGGGGAGCAACCTGAGCTCAGCGGGAAGAAGCGAGGGAGCTGGCGGAGGAGTCCGTAAGCTGAGCCACACATCTCAGAAATTTGGACTTGACCCTGCAGACTTCCTGGAGCCCCGGAGAATTCGGGAGCTGGGACAAGGGCCGCTGGAGCGCAGGCTGACCGCTCCCTTTCCCAGAAGGAAGAAAAGTCCAGAACCTTCCATGGTGCTGTGGTGGTGGGTAAATCCTACTTCAAGGGGTGGGGCGCTAGCAACCTCAAATAGACACCTGGACCCACCCTGCTCAGAGAGGTCCGGGCATGGACCGGTGCTCAGAGGACACGGCCAAGACCTCCTGTGTACCTGCCAGCAGCTGCTGTGGCGCTCAGGGGAGTGAGCCACCTGGAAGAGGGGCCCGGCCCCAGGTGGGAGGAAGGGACCCCTCCCCAGGCCACTCAGACAAAAGCTCCTGGCAGCCCCCTGGGGACCAGGTCAGGCCCTGCAGGCACCCTGGAATTTGGAAGAAAAATGGCAAAGTGGGCAGGCCCCCGGAGAGTGAGCAGGGCGGGCCAGGGGTGCGGGAGAACCCGACTCCCACGCGGGGGAACTGCCCTCCCAATGGCACTGCCCACCACTTCTTGCAAACGCCTGCTGTTCCGAATTGTGGGCTGTTGTTTTTCAAGCATTTGCTTTACAGAAAGATCTGGAGAATATTCCGGAACAATTAAATATAGGTCCCGTGGAAGCTGTTCCACTTACATGCCTGTGTTCAACAAACATTCTCTGAGGGACTGCTTGGTGCCAGAAGCTGGGCAACTAAGGTCTCAGCCACAGTGAGGTGAAGAGCATGGTCCCTGCCCAGAGGGCCGGGGCAGGGGAAGAAGCCAAGCTCGGGAGGATCTGAGCACAACAGGGGTGACAGGTGCTGAGCTGGTGGGGGCTCTGGAGCTGCAGGACACACAGGAAGGGCACCTGACCAACCAGAGAGGACTTCTCTGAGGAGGAAAATCTGGTGGTCAGGTGACCGGGTCTGCATGGAGCAGGGTGCATTGCGGACTTCAGGGCCCTGGAAAGCAGTGCCCCTGGGTCATGGGCCGCTGGGAGCCACCCATGGCTTTAGAGCAGGGAAGTGACTCGATCTAATTTGATGGCCCCTGGGCAGCTGGA